TGAGCTCCTGCTAAAATGGTGTAAGAATGCTTAGACCACACAGAAAGATGTTTGTGTAAACTCTCCAATAGATTTGTTTCCACATTCTTTGAAGGTAACCTGTCTCAAAACTTAGCCAGTATTTCTCAAGCATATATTCTTCTGTCCCTTCCCTATGAGAAGCTTGTGCAAATCCCTTCCTCCCTCTTTCTCTTTCTCCTTCTCTTACTCTTAATCTCTTCCTTTCTACCTCTCTTTCTGTATTCCTCTCCTCCTCCTACTTCCTCTTTATCCCTTTTTCTCTTGTAGAACTGTCATGTTTCAAGGTAAGAAATGAAAACAATAAACCCAAGTATTCTTCCTACTGTTCTTCTTGTTGACCTGTTCATGTACCCCTCAGGTTGATAACACTTCAATATTTTTAAAATGTAGTTGACTATCTCCATCTTTGCAAATGGAACATGTATTTCCTTTCAATTCCTAATGGATTAAAAGAAAAAAACAGTAGACTTCTTTCAAAGCATTCTTTTATATTTTTTTTGAAAGCCAGACTCAGACAGCAGTCATAGATTTTTTAAACAGTTTCATTTCTTTTAAATTCCCGTTGTAGGATATTTGGCTGTATTCTTACAGCAGCTCCAAAACTTGCCTTATCTTTCAAGCTTGGAACCCCAAAAGAAACAGTCTATTCTTGATAATATTCTTAACAACAGTAAACAAAACATAATATGAAGAATTATCTTCTGTTTCTATCTCCATGTTAGCAGCAGTGTTGTATGCAATATTTATATCATGGTTATTTTCCATAACTTATCACTGATGGCTTGCTGTGCTTTCTGTGCTGACTATATCTTTCTTATGCTGTAATGCTGTCCAGCCTGTAACTCCATACTTTGCGTTTGCATTTGAGTTTTCTGCCTAAACGAGTATATAAACCAGTAAATCACTGTAGGCTGGATACAAATGTACAGCATGCTAATTTCTCTTTGCAAGCTCCCCTTGTGGATACTTGTGGCCTACTCTACTGCATGTGGAGTAAACAGCATCACACAAAGCTATACTTAGTGCTTAGTAGGAGTGTTAACACAAAAAGTTAGTATGCAGCAGCAAGTGTACTGCAAACTCATGTTTTAGTTTGCTGTACTAACCTACTTGTGTTGTCAAGCCCCAAGTGTAGTACTTTGCACTTATCTCTATTGAATTTCCTGTTATTGATTTCAGACCATTCCTCCCATTTATCAACATGATTTTGGTTTTCAATAATGCATCCCTCTCCTCCTCTTTTCCCTTTTGAACTTACAACATCAGCACTTCATAGTCTTTAACGATACTGTAAATCACTGCAAAATGGCACAGGTAGGGTCTTAATATTTCTAGAATAACCAAGCTGGCATTTTTACAGTTACTCTTTAGACTACAGACACACATGTTTAAAGAAATGATTATTTGGGGTCTAAACAGTAAACTTGCTAGAAACAATGACTTCCAAGTGTTGAGGGAATGAGATAATTCCATCATTTGCCTTCTTGTAGGAAGAAAAAATGTCAGCAACTTTAAACCTTAAGTAGATTTTTGTGTAAAATGAAGAAAATTGTTTCTCTTGGAACTATCCACAATTAAAAAATGCCTAATTCTTGTTCACATTAGCAAATGAATTAGTTCTATGGAAGACTAGTAGTCTTTTGGAGATTTCTGATGAGAGTTAATAATGGATTAGAAGTTACCCTTACCTCTGGTCCATTTGTATGTGTGTATTACAAATGCAAGCACTGTGTGGGTGAGTTTTCAGTTTGGGGAAATGACTTTTGCTTCCTTCTAAAAGAGGATTTTAACATGCACCATGTGCTCAAGATAAACTGCATAAAGCTAGGAAACATGTTTACATTTTCATCAAAACAAGGATTTCAACCCTTACAAATATTACTTAATTTTGATCACTGAAAGTTTAGCTTTAAAGTGAGTTTGATCCTCATTTATAAATTTTTTTAAATGAAAAAAGACAAAACTCAGCTACAGCTACTGCCTACACTACTTTACTATTATCTATCAACTCTCTGAATACCTGCATTTGTTTCTAAAGTGGCTGCAATTACATATGGAGCAGTTACATGTGGAAACAGCTGTGTAGGTCTGCGTGGTTACTTGCATGCAGAGAAAATGTTTGCCAGCACTTCTGTAATAATGGATATCATTAAGGAAAAAGCCGTAGCATTAACACATTCTCCTGTGCTAGTAAACATTTTTGGTAGGTTTAAACGTGCGAACATCACTGAGGTGATGCAATGCAATGCAATGCAATGGCACAGCTTTTGGGCTGAAGGGAGAAAGGTTATCTCACAAGATAGTTTATGAAGTTCATTCAATTATTGCTGTAAAAAAATTTAAAACAACAAAAACAAACAAACAAAAAGCACAGTCAAACAAAAAATTTGTGGAGTCTGAACTGAAAAAGAGGAAGTGATTTTGTTTAACAACAGGCTAGTTTCTGCAGACGCTGGTGAGAGCAGTTTTCCATTTCTTGTTCCCCTTTCCTGTTTTTTTCCAACTATTAAGCGTTATCTTTTTCTCTGAATCAGATGAGAGCTGCAATATACTTTGAATTAACTCTTGGTCATTTCTTTCCTTCAAAGAACTGAACAAAGATTTCCCTTTTAAAATACACAGGGCTCATCTTCACGTTTTCTCTAAGAACCATATCGTTACAACACTTGCCTAGAAAGCAGAAGTGAGTTTGGTATTCCTACTGACTCTCTTTCCTACTGTCATCACATTTTCTAGTACTATGAATCCCATCCTTTTCTGCTCTATGCGCTATGAAGCAGCTTACCAAACTAAAAATCTCCAGTCATTCAAGAAGAGAAATATCTGGCTTATCTATATATTAGATGTTAAATGTTCTTTGTGGTCAGTACTTAAGGAGGAGTTTGCAATTGTCCTGGAGTTTTGTTTTGTGAAAATTTGGATTCAGTGATCACTGGAACAAACTTGATGGACTTCAAGGTGCATATGTCCTTCTGCAGACCTAACCTCTACAGTTTAATTAAACAGAGAAAACACCATTTGCAGTGCAATGGAAGACAGTCTTACTCTCTATTTACTTGTTTACTGAATAGTCAATATACTCAGGGTTTATTTGCAGTGCTGTTCCCTATTAGAAGAAAAATATCAATTATTCTCCATTGCCTCGCAGCCTGACCAGCATAAATTGGCTCATTTCCTGAAGACATGCTGTTAGAAGTGGGTCCTTCCACTCTTATATTATTTATATTTCTGTTATAAATCCTGTTAACCATCAGTCTAAATAGAGTACAGTGTGGATCCTCACATTTCTGAGGTCTTTATCACTGGGAGGCGAAATTGACCTCCCAGCAACGTCTTTGTGTATCACTGCATCAGCTCCTAAGCTGTATGTTTTTTTCTTATTCAGGCTGTTTCCCACTGTTCAAGGAGAGAAAATAGTTTTGTCTCATTTTCTTACCCATTGCTGTTTTTGCATGTCCTGCAATCGTTATGCTTTCCTCTGTCCCCTTTGCACTATTCTAGACAATTATGCAAGGTCCTTTGTTGCAGATATTACACTTGAAGAAATACCATTCTGCAGAGAGATGACAACATTTCTTCATCTACAATAACAGGTCATTGTTTTGAAGTTTCTGAAAAGAGCTACTGAGGAACCTCATTATTGGCAATCTTTTCTTTGTAAGTTTGAACTACCTCATGCCCTTAGTGTATTGAAAAAAATCATCTATGGACAATCTGAATCACAAAGAACTTGGAAGTTCTGTGGAATGAAAATAAACTGCTGTTCATATGAGATTTGTCTGTAAACTCTGTCTGTCTGCTAATCAATTGAAGTAACCTAGCTGAATATCATCCACAAATGGGTGCAGTGTGCTTGATTTAAGATTTGGTATGTTCAGTTGTGTGTATCTTTAACTCTGGAGTGAGGTATCATCGTCATGCATTTCACTGTTTGGGCACATTACGTTGCATCATTTTTTGCAAAGGTCACAGTTCCAAGGTCGCATTTATACTCTATGAGAAATTCAAATCTTGTAAAGTATTTGCACTTCTTCCTTTGGGCCGGTTTTTGGGCTGTATTTCCTGCCATTCTTTGCATAAATAAAAACACTGACATGATTTTAAGTACTCAGTTTTGGAGTATGCAAAATTATCTGTTCCTGTGATAACTAGCTTCAAGCCCATTGAAATCTGTAGTGAGATTCACACTGGAGTCAGTGGATTTTCTGTCCAGATTTTAGTGAATACTGGCACAACCCAAAGACATTACAGGTTGCATAATGATGTGTCCTGTAAATTAACATTAATGAATCTTTTCTATTAGATGGAAGAGACAGTCTAATCACTTTTTCCTGTGCTTGAAAGGCAAGATCTAGTCAGCAGATTACTTTGTGTCTCATCTCTTTCATTCTGAAAACTGAACACCACTTCATCCCACTTTCAGGGAACAAAAAGAGTGGCCCTGACATTTTGCTCAGAAGACCATTGCAAAAAGAAGAATGGAAATAATGTGGGCTTTTTTTTTTGTTTTTTTGTTTTTAAATTTGCCATATACATTTTTATTTTTTACTTAATATTTATTACTTAATATTTGCATAATGAGAGCTGTGATTTTAGCCATTGTACAGATGCAAACACAGACAATCCCTGTCACAAATACTTACAAAATTGAGATGAAATTTTGAAAGCATGTATTGTGGATGATAAAAATGAAAACAAGGGAAGAAAAGGAGGGGGGAAAAACAGATATGGAGATATTGGCTAGTATCTAAGAACCATCTAAGTGCTGCCATGTACTAGTGCTAGGAGAAAGGGGGTATCTCATAAGTATGCTCTGAACTGGCGTCGTCAAACACGATACCTTGTAGGCTTGTAAAATAAGAGCCTCAGGGACAAGAACAGGTATATACAATAAAACAACACTCAAGAGAAAAGCGAAAGAATGAATGTGAAAAAGAAATCCAGCATAAGTACAACACAGAAAAATAGATAAAACTTACCAGTAGCTAGATGGAGAATTTCTGTACTGTTCTTCATCACACAGTATAGATAGAACCTTGGTTTTAAGACTCTTCTGGCTTCCACAGCCATTTTCTCCATCTTTTCACCTGAAAGGTCTTCTGGTCAGTAAGTTGTTTCAGGAAGATATGCTTGAATGTGTATCTATTTTTTTAATTATTTTTCTTTCCCTGCTTTGTGTAATTTAATTGCTGATTAGCCTAATCTTACCCCTACTGGAAGGTGAACTTAGTGTTGTAGCACTAAGGGATCCTGAAGAGTACTGCTGCCAATATTACAGATTCAGACGGATTCTCTCAACTACAGAATATATCTGTCTTCTGAAATTGTTTTCTGAGATGCTTAACAATACCTCTGTACCTTGCTAACTCGAGGTTTTATAGCACCAAGGACCCATGTGTCTGTCTCAAGGATAGATATTTGCTCTCTTGAGAGCAATAGTATCTCAGGATTTGTCTATGGGATTAAAGGCTGCTACTTAGACTTTAACATTACTGGTGCTCTGAGTTAGTCATACTGGGTCATACCAAAAATCTATTTGAGAAAAAGGGATTGTCAACAGGGACTCAAGTCAAGTAGCACCTGATGTAATTCACTCAGGAATCTCATATAACTCCATCTCCTGTGGCTTGGAGCATGCATGGATCTGGTGTGTTACAGTCACCAGTTGCCCATGTAGAATGGCTGTAAATCTTAGAAAGCTAGTCCTACAGACTTACACAGTTGAACAATAGAACTTGCAACTTCATCTCACAGGGCACTGTCAATTTCTAGAAATGTGTCATTGCTTAGGTGAGATATTAAATGGTTGCACTGCCTTAAATTCCAGAGTTGCATTTAGCATATAGGTTGTGAAAATGCTCTGCTATGTGAAAGGACTTATGGAACTTTTTATCAGATCAGATATTTGCTACCAGACTGCTCTCTTTATTTATTATGACAGACAGAAGCTGCAACTTCTATATCTATGAACAACTGGATATTATGGTTCAGTGACTACTTGAGTTATACTTGCACAATTTGGCACACATCATGTAGAAAACACTGCTTACTCATGGTTTTGCTAGTTTTTTTTTTTTTCAGAGGTACGTAATTTTTTTTTTAATTCATTCTACTAAACTGGCTGTTTATTATAGATCTCATTCCTTGTGATTATCTGAATTTTTACTACATTTTGTGGCAGAAACCATTAAAAAGCCTGAAAACATTTCTGTCATTTATCTATATCCAGACAACTTCAAGTAATTTTCCTCTAATGCAAGTTTTCTCTTTCATAGCACTAAAGAACGTTTGATGTGCTTTAGACAACACAGTAATCGTAATGTGTAGAATGTGTGGTGAATAAGCACAGTCAATTTTGTTAGAACATTCATCACAGCACACATTTGGATCTGTATTTTCGATACATAGTGTCTAAGTACTCTATTTCCATTGAAAATCATCTTTAGAACACATATTTCAGTTCATTTCACACTGTGTTAATTGCGTAACACACTGTAACCATTACCTTTTACCAGCCACAGTTGCTCATCTAATGGGAAATGATGACTTTAACAAGGAATTATTAGATCTGTTTGATCAGAGAATGCACATGTGGACAATGGGTTTTGCAGTCTGGAACACACACCATTTTCTCCCCCTATGAGTACATAATTGAATTAAAAGTCTCATTGTAGGAAGAGAAATGCTTTGTAGCTAGCCCTGCTGGGTTGAAAATTTTATTTAAAACTACTGAATAAATATGCTGTGTTTACTGTTATTTCAGTATCATTTAAAATTTTTCAGGTTTTCTAAATGGAAAGCATATAGTCATAATCGTTCTTATTGTAAGTTAAAAAATAATTAGACTATTTTTTCATGAAGTACTGATACAAGTTTAAAATCATATACTGGGGATTAACATCCCATAATTTTCCCAAAGCAGGAAGAATACATGCAAGAATCTGAAGATAACATTCCACACTGTACCCACAGAGATAAAAGTGATTTTGAACAGTATTGCAGTAGTCTTTGAATAAAATATTTCTGGATTTGTTGCTAGTGGAACTGAAAGTCTTGCAGTCTTGTGAAATATGTCTCACAGGACTGTAAGTCCAGAATATGTCATATTAAGTCTGCTAGTGCCATCTATTCCTTATTGGTGGGTGAATCATTATTTATGTTCTAGGAATTCAGAACAAGAATTTAAAATCCACTAAAAAATAACCTGGGAACCTAAAATCCAATTTTCAGAAGTTCCTGGGAGACATGGGGGTTTTGGGGTATTTACCCTGCACAGCTATGAAGCTGCTCCCATTCAGCAGTTATGCCAGTCTCAGTGGCATTCCTAGTCCAAACAAACAATCCATTCTGAGAGGATAGTTACACTTATTGTGGTGGAGCTGAACTGATATGACTACTCAACCTTAGAACCTGATATAGAGCCTCTATGAAACATCCCATCACAAGCTATGTTTGTGCAGCTGCAGTGCTAAGTTTCCTTGAGGTATTTTCATGTAGATTTCAAAATAATTCAGACTCCCATAGCAACAGATTTGTACTTAGACACATAGTATTGATGCTGCTTTTGTTTTCACAGCTGTAAATACATCCTTACCTCCTAGGTATCCAATTCAATACATGCCATCTCTCGCAACTGGCATTGTCAAAGCAACCAAAGTACTGCTGAAAAAATACTGATCAGTTATTTGTAGTACTAGCTCCAGCCCTAAAGACTTGAAGATGGACAATCGCAGATGCTGGGAATGTCTTGTTTGTGAATGATGTATAATCACATAAGGCGTCTAACGCTTTCCATCCTGTAAACTTTGTGGCAAGATAGTCAGTCTAAAGTCCCCAGCATCTCAAGTATGTCCGTAAATAAAAGCCAAATGGTACTGGCTGTGTCTTAAAGAGGTACTGCAAGTGGTAAGAGAGACTGAGAAGCCTGACTTCATGTGAGATCCACATGGGACAAGTTTTCTGTTTTGGTGCTGTCAGATGCAGATTCCTAATCTTTCCACTCTTTGCTCCCACTATTTCCATAACCTGTATGTGATACATCACATAGGCTTCCATATTAGCTTAGTCAAATTTCACAAGGCACTTCACAAGGAACTTCACAATGCATTATTCTATGACCATTGTGAGCGTGTCTGATCACCTAAAAGACCCCCAAATCATTTTAAAAATCGAGCCCAAAACCTTATTTAAAAGCTTCTTCTGTCACAGATGAAAATTTTCTTAGGTGGTCCTACAGACTTATTTTGGGCAAAGTGTGAAGCTACTTGTGGCTTTTAGCATCACTTGACTTTCAGATCATTGCTGATGATACAAAGCTGGGTGGACTGGCTGTCACATGTGAAGGCTGTGCTGCCATTCAACCATACCTGGACGGACAGGGGAAAGAAGAAACCTGATGAGTAACTTGGGTCTGTTCATCCTGGAGAAAAGAAGACAGAGAGGATCTGATTAATGTTTATAAATAACTAAAGGGGGGTGGGAGGCAAATGGTCGAGGCCAGGCTTTTCTCAGTGGTATGCAGAGATAGGACAAGGACTAATATCCTAAAACATGAACAGAGGAATTTCTGTACTAACGTGCAGAAGAACTTATTTACAGTAAGGGTGACGGAGTACCAGAACAGGTTGCCCGGAGAGGACATGGAGTCTCTTATGGAGATATTCACAACCTGTCTGGATGCCTACATCCAGCAGCCTATTGATGAGTACTTGCTTTAGCAGAAGCATTGGACTTGATGTCTTGAGGTTCCTTCTAATTCCTGTGATTCTGTGAACTTATAGAAGCTGTGCTCGTGAACAGTGATCTTGTAACATCATGAGGTCTCAAAAGGCCCTTGCACCTGGCATGTGGGATGTAGCTCAGAAATTGCAGAATCACCAAGGCATGGTGCTATTGACTTGTGCGCCTAATTCCCTTTTTGCCATTCTTCCCACTTTTCTGTTTTTGCAAGTCCCATATGTGACAAAACTGGTCTTGAAGACTCAGATAAATTTCAGTTACTTTCCAAAATGATTAAGAGATATTTGAGTTACAGAAAATGAATCACAGGATGATTCAGGTTGAAAGGGAATGCAAGAGGTCAACCTGTGTGTCTCCTCTGCTCAAGAAGGGCTACCTACAGCAGATTGCGTAGGACAAGGTCCAGACAAATTCTGAGTATCTCCAAGTATGTAATGTTCACAGCATTTCTAGGCAACCTGTGCCAGTGTTTCGCCACAATCACAATAAAAACATATCTTTATGCTCAGATGGAACAACCTGTATTTCAGTTTGTGCACTCTAGCTTGTTCTGCCCCTGGGCACCACTGAAAGGAAGGTGGCTCCCTCGTCTCTACAGCCTCTCTTCAGATATTTATACTCTGTTTCAGTCCCCTTAATCATCTCTGTGACCTCTAAGTGGACTATCTTCAGTAGCTCCATATCTGGGGAACTCAGAATTGGACGCAGCATTCTATGCGTGGCTTTACCACTGCTGTGTGTAGGGGAAGGACCACCTGACTCATATTGTTCTGGCTAAATTGCCATCATTAAACTTTAATGATGCAAGGGCAAAAGGACATTCTTAAAAAAAATATAAACAAAGGATGTCATGTCATCTCACTCCTTGACCAGTCATTCAAATATTGTTGTGCATATTTCTTTATTTTTTTTGTTGTCAATCATCTGGATTAAATCTTATACTCAGTGAAGAACAACCAGAAATCGAAATTAGTGGTAAACTTAAGACAGTGTGATGTTCTGGTGCACTGCTACTCATACACACAGTTCTATTTATTTCAGAGGGATAGCCTTGTGTGGATGAGGCCTCTACAGTACAAGGAATGACTCAAAATTCTCAGGGCCCTGTTGATCTACACACCTGTGCAAATGACGACAAAAATACATTTCAAAAATTACTAAACGATTATTTGAATCTTATTCAAATTTTAATACATTAGTGTTCACACCAGAATTTAGCTCATTTCATCAGTTGTAAGATCATAAAATAATAGAAAATGTAAAAAAAGAATTTGTTTATCAAGTCAAGCCATCATCTAAGTCCATGAAAAGTACCACATGTAAAGTGTCCATAAGTGCCACATCCACATTTCTTAAACACCTCCAGGGATGGTGACTCTATCACTTCTCTGTGCATCCCATTCCAGTGCCTCATCTTCATTCTTCTGTGAACAAATTCTTTCTGACATCTTATCTAAATCTATCCTGATGTAACTTGAGACTGTTTCCTCATGCTCTAAATGTCTACCTACTTTCAGTAGAAATCACGTTGAATTATCAAGGCCACAAAATGACTATATAAAACCCCAAAATGATAGAAATATAGCATAAATATTACAATTTTGTTTGCAGAAATATCAAGGTATGCAACTAAAATTATATATTTGATAAGAGGCTTGATTTTAAGTACAGTGAGGGTTTTATCCACCTTGAGTCCGGCGTTCAATCAGTGTTCATCAATACATTCTTACTGATGTTGATCATTCATGCAAAAAGCAAGTACCTGACATTTCCATATTCAGTGAACGTTGCAGTTTGTGGAGTCAAGTTATGTCATTGCTCTGCTCTTTCAAGGCTACCATGCTATCTTTTGAATATAAAGATAATAAACTGTCAGTCTGAATCCAATATGATATTGCATATTCCTCTGTCTGAAATTGGCATTGATTCCTGTCTCACTTTATGCATTGGTGTTAGAATTCATGGCATTTTAGAATATACTCTTAGAAATGTCATTGCATTGCTGGGCAACTTAATGGAAATCCTTTCCTGTAGCTTTGATTTTTCTTCATTACACTGTTATTTACTTAGCTTATGTGACTGAACACCGATAAATTGGACTTTGCTCACATTTCTTATCACATTGGTTTGAATTGCAATTCATAAACTTTCTAGTAACCAAAAGCAGAGCTGGAGAGATTACATCTTTGATAAGATTACAATCCCCTCATGTAAGTAATATTAAAATTGACTCTCTGAATATAATCAAGAATTTGTCTGGTTATCTTTAATTGATCTCCCTGGAAAGACAGTACAAACTGCAAATGAAATTGACGTATATTACAAGTCAAAGCAATAATATAAAATCATAGAATAAAACAAAATAGCAGTTTATGCCTATCTTGGACCTTTAAAGTTATAGTTCATCTCTAAATGACAGGAGAGGTCGTCTCCAGTTTGTGGCAACAGTATGGAAAATGAGATGTCCAGGACAACACAAAACAACATATTTGGTATTTAAAGTGCTTTCCTCCTTCATGTGAATGATTAGGCTTAATAGATTTGTGAAAAAAATCAAGATTGAAAGTAAAACTCCTATAAACTTGTTCTTGGGCATTACCATTCACAGTGGGGTCAAAAAATTTAAATTTTATTGTCATGTTTATCTTTATTTGACATCATCCTAATACACAAATTTTAGCTACCTGCTTCATTTCTTGTGGGCTAGATATCCAAATTCTATCCAAATAAAAACTTTTAAAATCTTTTATACTAGAGATATCTAGGCAGGTATTTGGAAGGCCTCTCAGTGGTTCCCTTTTTTTATGAGAATTCCCGAAGTTTTTTTATGCCATCACCTGGCATAAACCACCTGTTTTACTACCTGTTGTTGATGCCAGTGTGCACTGGTGACCTTTCACAGATTTGATCAATCCTTAGTGTTCTAGATTCAACAGGACTGCTAGTCTCTGAAGCATAACAATTCTTGAGAGACGGTCATGTGGTACCTTTTGATCTCTTCAGCCTGTTGTTTTCTAGTTACTCTTTCTCCATTTAAACCCATAGATAACTACAGAAATTCACAAACACTCACACAGAGTCACACCTCTTTCTTCACTATAACTGGAATACTTGGATAAGTGCATATTAGGAAGATGGCAAAGAAGTTTTCCTCTTCATTCAATAAGTGATAATTTGAAATAACTTTCAACATTACTAATGTTTTCTGCAGGTGCTAAGAGAGAGTCAAAGAAGATGACTCAATTATAACAAAAAGATAAACAAAAACAGGTTTATGAATTGTAATTTTAAAGAACACTTTTTTCTAGAAGGAATCTGGGCAGAAAAATCTCGGAGGTTTGTGAGGTTCAGAAGAGTCTCCTACAAAAATTCAATAGTGTATATGACTTAGATAAAGTGAAAAATACAAAGGAAAATGTTCAATTCAGGTCTGTATAACAGAAGTGGAGAACGGCATGCTGAATAACAATGCAAGAAAATTTTCTGTTGCATAAAGAATATAGAATATCAATAAAATTATCTGGAGAATTGAAAATATGTTACTATGCACAGTAACATAGTTTTGAAACAAATTACTGATTTGCTGATGAGATCTTACTAATACATTTAAAAAAAAATTAGGACTATTTTATAGAAATGAAAAATTCAAGACAAAGAATAAAGAAAAAAGAGGAAAATATTTCTTCTTCAATGACTGTGAACGCAGAAGAATACTAGATAAATTTGAGAAGATTTGACTTTCATACGTTTAACTTCAAGTAGTTAAGAATGAGAGTGAAATCATTTAAGAAAAAAATCTCATGGAAGAATCAGAATCAAAGATTTTTGTTCTTCATGAGAGGTAAAATCATACTAGAAAAGTTACAGAGAAGATTGCTTGAGCAAATGAAGTGAAAGATTTGCTTTACAGATGATCTTAGGTTGGCTTATTTACTGTCAAAGATGAAGCCTGAGAGACACAAAGATGTACACCGTATTTATTTTGGGAGACTAAGGAAAAGGAGAACTTAAGCAAAAATTCTTCCTCAGAAGAATTTATCAGAATCTTTGCTTGTTCTGAAGGCAAGTAACACTAGCAGAGCTATATGGTGCAGTGCCAATGCTAGCGTGTTGAGTATGCAAGGAATGTACATTGCAGAAGAGATAAGGATAGGGTTTATCCATAGGTAACTCTGATAGTAATGCCTTCTAATTATTTCCATGGTAATTACAACAAATACAGAGTACAATAACACTATTTCATTGAGCAAATTCTCAGATACAAAACAACATTTTTCAGCAGTCTCCATGGTTGGCTATGCATTTTTGCCAGCAATAAGAAAGAGCTGATGCATGTAAAAATTTATGTGGTTGTGTGGAATGTGGCTTACCTTTCATATCACTATTGCCACTTCTGAACATCACTACCCACTGCCTCACTGCCAACATCTGTTTTTTGGTCTCTATCAATACTCATCAAGCTTTGGTGAATGCCAATGGATGCAATTTTTTCCACATGGAAGAATTCAATGACACAGCTTTGTTTCATATGCACTTCTATGTCAGACACCATTTTTTCAAACTGTCCCAGTGCTGCAGTCTGTCACACAGCAACAACTAGATAAGAATGTTGGTGGGAAGGTTCAACTTCTTCTGCTATACCACCAACATCCACCTCTGGTGTTGTGGGTAAACATAATAAAATAGGAGATATTACTGTCAGAACAGCCCTCTTATGTCACCGAATAAAGATTTGGAATGGAAAACAGTTATGCAAAAGAGATTGGAGATGTAGTGGACATCTACAGCATTTAAGTGCAACACTCAAGACTGATTTCCAATTTTACTTAAATGACAATATCCAAGGATGAGATGTAGATGCGGATTGAACTTTCTCACTAATCTGCCAGGCACTAGGTCATCTTTCTTAGTCTTTGGGATGCACTTGGATGAATAAAGAATCTCTATTGTTTAATTGTGTTAGCTCACTTTATTTTAGTTAGTGTCATTGTGGAGAGAGAATGACACATCTGAAGCCATGTTAATTGACCAGTTGTCATCTCCCTACCCCTGATGTTTTCTCCTGAAGCTAACTGAGACTAAAGCGCAGTAGCCTATTTTGTCAGGGATTTTTTAATTGGGTTAAAGTCTCCTGAGCAAGCACCATTAACAGTTTCACTTATAGCCTGGACATGGTGTAAATAGTGAAAGCAGTGCTCTGCAAAGCTTTTTGTACTAGATGAATTTACACTTACAAAATCCTCTTCTCAGCTAAAAAATTAAACATAAAAATGGGCCTTCAGCTGATTAATTTTATTTTATAAGAGCTAGTATGTTGTAAATTGGTTTCAAAAATTGGGCTTCCATGAGAAAACTTTGATTAAATCTCCAGAAGCAATGAATCATTTATAAAAATAAGCAAAGTAAGACACGTTTTTTTCTTTATGGATGGTTTTTTGTGCGAGAAGCAGCACATATAATATTGGAAGTAGACAGAGAAATAGCATTTACAAAATTACAACTGTTCTTTATGAATGTATATTAAAATAAATTGGTTACTCTTTATACTCTGAAAATGACAAAATAAAAAGAACCAACCCCATTCCTTTAATTTCAAGCAATGTCTTTAGCAACAGTTGTTCAACGACTTTTTAAATAGCCAAAGCATATAGTAAACAGTTGATAGAAAGATATTGTAAATGATCTTTCTGTGAAATATCAGATGAAATGCACATTTGGATACTACCTGAGCAGCCATTTTCAGTTATACCTTAATTATATCATACACCTTCTCTGTTACCTTTTCCTGTTAACTATTTAAAATCAAACCTACATTTTCTACGTGAACCACAAAATCTAGAATCACCTGTGAATTGTTATAAAAGCATACATTTTGTGAAATTCAGAATAGCTTTCCTCTCTGATGACATATGTGACAAGTGTGGATAAATTACTTTACAAAAAGAACTAATTATTACATTTGGTTCCTTAAAATTAATTTTTATTAACAATTTTTATTTTGCTGATAAAATCTTTATCTGCACTGAAAGTATATTGAATGTAGTGTTGTTTCCTTCCTTTTTCAAGATGCATGTCACAGATTTTTATTTATTTATTTCTATATTAGAGGAAGATGAATAGAGCATGGTCTAGGCCATTAAGAGAAATTTCAGTTGATCCATTAGTGCAGATTTTAAATACTAGCAGTGACACTTTGAAGAATAATTTATATGGTCTGTGTGAAGTCCTTGCAAACACATAACAATAATATGTACATTGGGAATATTTAAAGACATACAAAGCACATGGATCTTTCTTTCAATTAATGAAATCAAGATAAGTGAAAATAGCCATAAGTAAGTAGGTATACTTTTTCATTCTTCTTGATTTTTTGAGAATATTATTTTTTTCCTGGAATCTTGCTTAACTTGTTTAAAATGTTGTTATTCAAGTCAAAAAGATTTTTAGGTCATTTGAACTTTTCCTGAAAATAACCTCTTGTCACTTCCATGCTAAAGGCATTTTTATTACCTCTGTCACATCAGCTGAAAATAGTAATAGTACTGTAAAAATTGATCTCACCAAAACTGACAGGCTCAGTGAAACACATTTACATAAGTGGAATTGAGTGAAAATTTTTGTCTACTAAGAAATGGAGAACAAAGACCTAGAGTGGACTGGAAACAAGCACAGGGTAGAGTGAAAAGCATGAGATCATTAGGTCAAGTCCTTCAATCAGCTTGTCTATTTTTCAGTCTCAGGCTAACTAACTGACGAAAGTACATTATTACTCTTCAATCACACCTCAAATCTGCAAGACTCTTGATGTCGAGAAACTTTGAATTGTTTTGCATGATTTATGCAGTCATATTTCAACTTAAGAGCTGTAGTTTTTTTCAGCACCCATTAGCTTACAGAGGAAGTAGGTGCTAGGGTTAAGCAAGACCAATAACATCCTATTTTTCACATAGATTTTATTTTAATTTCTGAAGTCTAACCTCTTTGTAAAAGGGGTAACATTAAAAAGGCTAAGTGAAAAAATTATGTAGACAGAACCAAATCTGCATAACTAAATTGAATTAATTAGAAAAAGCCTTCATATCCTATACTAGAATTTAATACGACTTTGAGAATATGTCATCTCCAAGATATTGATTTTGAAAATAGAGTGATTATTTTCCAGTTTGAATGTATAAAAACTGTTATAAATAACAAAATAATAGTCAACTAAATGGTGAAATATATGCAAGTATATGGGGTAGAATGAGACAAAGAAGTCCATCTACAGATCTACTCTCCATTTCCATTAGTCATCTCATTTGACAAACTCAGCATGAATCATTTGTGTCTGGTAGCCCTTATGCAGAAAAGATCACAGCAATAATATGTTGAAACACTAGAAGGTCAGTGTCTCGGGAGGTTTTTCCTGATTAAGAGAGAAGTGAGAAGCCTGAGTTAAAAGAAGTTCAGTCCAGTTCAGAATCAGAAATGGGAAATAAATGTGGGAAGAAAGAAAAACAAATTTGTAAGAGGAATTTGAGACCAAAAAATCTAAAAAGCTTAAACACTGGTCGAGGTTGTTTCAAAACCAGAGTCCTGAAAGCTGGTTCTCAAGATCTCAGTTGCTGGATATATATATTTTTTTAATTCCAGAAGGATGAAGCATTATGTTAAATCTTACTCACTGGAAAGAAATGACACATAAGAACATATTTCCTGTAATTTCCTCTCTCCTTCCCCTTCTTTTTGGAAAACCAAAGAATTATTTTGAAAATAAAGTTATAGCAGGATAACTTTTTCATATGGAGCTAATCTAACTACTTTCAGGGACTTTTTCTTCTGGGGTGGAAAATCTGATGTCCAATCTCTTTTTTTTTTTTTTTTTTTTTTTTTTACCAGAAAATAATTAATGACATAACTGTGCAGCAAGGTGACAGTTAAGAAATTCTACTTTGTTATGAGTTCCTTTCCTAATCCTGAGTTCAGCCTGTCGAAGCAAATAAATGATGGAGACTAATCTCATAGGACTGTCACTATAACTGAAGACACATATTTGACATATGGATGTATCTTATCCATTACTTATACCCAAAGTATACTTACAAAAACTTGTCCTTCTGCTTTCAATTAGACTACCAAAGAAGAATGAAAATATGCTTCACAATCTTTAATATTCAGAATCATGCCACATTTTCATGGTTTTATGATTTTGGTTCTTGGTATTCTGCATCATAAAATCATGTCGTGCACTGTGACTTATAGAGTTAATGCGCCAGTTTTGGGCACCTGTCCGGAAGAGAACTACATACCCCAGAACCCTTATTACATAACAACTTCCCGATTCCCTTGCTATACGAATAGTAAAAAAAATAAAATAAATGTAAAATATGAAAAAGTTGTCTGATGCTGTGCCTGGATAATACAAATATGCATTTAAATGTACTATAAAAATACAACCGCAACAACAACCAAACAAAAAAATTATAACAAATCTGCCTCACCCCCAAATGAAAAATACCAAACACTCAGACAATACTATTATTTGGAGAATTAATTAGGAATATGACAGTGTTCAAGAAACATTCTTACTTAACTAAAAACAAAACCAAACACTCAACCTGGACAACAATTCATTTTTAAAGATGAAAAGTAAATGAGAAAAAAGAGTAACTTCTCAATCATCCATTTAAAATGTAAAAGATCCCTTTAAGAATAACTAAATTTTAAAAGGATATTTGGAGAACAGATAAACAAGGGTGTTTGGATATATCTGAAGCAAAATTTTAACTCCAAATGGGCAATGGGCCCTGAGGAAAATAAAGGGAAATATCAGAAAACAAAGTAAATAAAAGAGCAATACATCTAATTCCTAAAATCTTGTCAGAGCTTTGTGCTAGATAAGGAAAGGAAAAATGGCAGTGATGCTGAAATAAATCTGTAACTCTTCTACATATACAATATTAGATCACCTATTCATGGCTTCAAATCATTAATAAGAGAACATACAAAAAAGTTTTAAAAGAATGAAAATATGACAGCTGTTAATTTGGAATATATCCAAGCTTAAAAGAGACTTTCTCTGCTTCTGCCCTGAAATTATGGAGAGAGTGGGATATAAAACTCCCTGAACTGAATGTCGAATGCAGTGTGGTTCCATCTTTAGCTTCACAATACTAATCACAACTACTTATTTCTTCTGACTCACAAACAACTGAAAATGAATTTATAAAAAAGCATTGTTGAACATGATGAGAAGCTGGGATAACAAAGAGACTGTACTTACACGGTAATGATGACGTACTTTGGTTGGAGATGCAGCTAAAACTTCAGCATAAATTGGTAAAAAAATTCTATGACAAGGAAGGAATTATGTTGAAATTCTCTTGAACTTTTCATTTAAAAATTTTCAAACAATACTTTAAGTGAAATAACTCTGTTTATTGTCATTCTAAATATATTTCATTTTCATTTTCTGCCCTTTCTGAAGCACAGATTTGTTAAACTGAAAATGTCAAAGTTCTACTATTCATCCTGCAGCTGGTGAAATAAAAGTGCTTGTATAGCTATTTTGATGCTCTGAGAAGAGCTGTTGTGACATGCTATGTCAGCAAACACATTTTGGTCGTTGGTCACAGCCAAGATTTGAATATAATCATTGGTCATAATCAAAACTGGTCATTGTCATTAGCATGGTGTCCTCAACACCCAGTAAATGGCTTCTTTGTGTCTAAAACAGTAGTTTATATAAGAACACAAGAAACTGAAATACAGTTTCTTGATTCTTTAGACATCAGTTTCTTTTCACAGAGCATAACTTAGCTATCAGCAAACTGGAAACTTGCTGATCACATGGAATGTCCTTTTCAATTTCTATTTTACTTGGTTTGGATGTTCACCAAAAATGAAATACTTGGGGTTTCAAAAAATGGGCGCTCTTTTTGAAGTTTCTTTCAAAGTGCCTAAAATAGAGTATTACCTTCTGAATTAAAACATATAGTCTTTAAACATATAGTCTTTAAACACAAGGTAAAATCTAGAATCCTGTATGAACGTGTGGTTACACAGGAAGATGGTCCAATGTTTAAGACAAGATCTAAAGGTGTTACTTTCTTAACTGTTGAGAAATGATGATGGGAATACAGAATTCAGGGTACTTTTCTAAATTTTTAGGGAGGCTATGCTAAGACTACGGATGCTAAGAACTAGAGTCTCTACAGATTTGATATACAGAATTTGGAGATATGTTGTAAAGATATGTGCTTATATCTTTCCCATTATTTTCCTATATCTACTGTTATAACTTTATCTCCATCCTCCTTCTGCCTACAGTCATTTTAGGGAACTCTAGTTCTCAATTTTAAAACACGTAGAGAAAAGAGTTGGGTATATAAATTGCCTAATGTCCTTCTTAGGGCTCACATCCCTTTCTGAACCTGCAATTTAATGCTTCCAAGATTCCTTATAGTAAGTGACGGATGAAATCCAGAAAATACGGAAATTTAAGAGAAACTACAAAATCGTGTTTTTTTCTAGGTGCCTAGGAGTTCTAGATTGCACTGATAAATTCTAGGATCTTTTAAAACTGAAACAAACCAATTTTGATTAAAGCATCATGTAAGTCATCACCAGTAACTAATTTTTTCTTCAGAATTCTTTACAGAGGAAAAAGAAGAAGGAAATTTCTGTTTGATATTTTTTCTCTATGGATGCAAACTACAGATTTCAGCACTCCTTCCATTTTAAAACAAGAACCTGAAATTATCCCTGCAATTATTATTATTTTTTTTTCTCCCTGGGTCTTTTCATTGCAGTTGGGTGATTCACATTCTCCAGCGTAAAGCGCTGGTGTGTGAAGCCTCAATAGTTCTACAGATTCAGAAGGACTATAAGAAAGTTTCTATATGGAAAGCCTGTTCTGTGGAACTATATTACAGCTTAAGGACATCCTTACATATCTTCTGAGAACAGAATATAATGTCATGTCCTTATGGATGTAGCTCTTCTTATCTTCATGGTGCATCAATATTATTACTCTGCTGTGCACCAGCTGAGAATCCAGCATCTGTTGTCACATGATTTTCTTGTCTAACCAAAACATTTTTCTAATTCCTTTTTTTTTTTTTTTTTTAAATGTATCATATAGATGAACTGAGACTGGATTATACTTCAGCTTCCTTTTCTTGCAACTCAAAATACTCTTTAGTCATTGCTGGCACAGTTTTCTTCCTAAAAAAGTTACTACAGCAGCACAGATGTGACAGAGTGTGCTAACCAGCATTTTTTTTCTGTAAAAACTTTATATTGGATGAAACTTTGGAATTAAGTACGTTGTTGGCAGCTATTGGTCTAAAGTTGATTTGAAGTTTAAAGTTGATATAAATGACAATTTAGTTTCCTCAAAATTTTGGTGTACTCTGTCATAGTGTACCTCAGTGTGTGCAAATTAGTATCTTATTTCTTCTTACATTCTCGTTTTATCACTGCTTTTCATGGAAACAGGATTGCACTTTTGATTAAGCCATTTTTTTCAAAGGAAATCTGAATCCTGTTTGACAGACAAATAGAGTCCTGAAATTCGATAGCAGGTATTCTTACTTGATAATTTTGATCAAGTTCCAAATTTTGTTCACCAGAATAGAAATTTTCAGCAGTGGGAACTTTAACTTCTGTGCTACACATGCCAACTATGCCCTAATTTTATATAGATATATATTGCTTCTTTGAAAAAGTATTAGATTCTTTTTTCCCTGAGTTTTATTCAGGTCCCATTTGTAAGTGTGTGATTTAAGGTATACCTTATATTAGCAATTATTTCTTTGGCTAAACCTCATAAAGGGTAGAAAATTACTTAAAAATTAGTGACCTTAATTTTGCCCCTCCAATTGCATTCTCTATGACATTTTAGTCTAGTACTATATTTATATCCCCTTTCTGATTTAAGTTTTTTTTTTTTTTTTTCTATATAGTATTTTAAGTTTAATCAAAAGTCAACTTAAAAAGGCCATTCTGCCTAAGGGATATTTTTCCATTAAGTATTTGACATATTGGTGGCCTTGAGGGATTATTGGTTTTTGAAGAAATATTAACAGCTGGAAATTTGCATTTTAATACAGTTCTCCTCAACTACTCAAGCAATTTTATTTTTAAGACCTGTGACAGGCTTCAAAGCCCTAGTTCTAAAGCAATCTTGCCAAGTAGTAGCTAACATAATTTTACTACAAATGATTAAGTTTCCTAATCGGTTTTCCTTTTCAAAATCCTGTTTGAGGTGTCTGTGAAATCAATACCAAAACTTTGTGATTTGCACTAAAACTCACATTGCTAATTTGGCTGAACCAGAGGCAAATGGGAAATGAACACCCCCTCAAAAATCTCAAAACCATAGAAAAAGAATAATGATAAACTAAAGATAAACATTAAAGTCATACCATAATTTTGTTCTTTAAAAGCTAAGGAGACTGAGAATATTTATAAATTGGTATCCTTGAAGAGTTTGTTAAAACTTTGACTATAAAAAACAAGATTTCATGAATGTATGTGTTGTTTATGATTACTGAGGCATTTAAAAGAATCAGATGCAGTAAGAGACATTCACAGTAAAACTGGAATAATCTCCACACTGTAGGTGCGCTGATACCATCACTACGCACAGTGTCAGTCCCAAATGCCATTCAAGTAAAGTAAATGCCCATGCTTTTCATGTCAACCCAAGAAAGAACTTCCAAGTGAGTGACAGGTTTGAAAATGGCATAGAGCTAAATTTTTGTGATATTAGCATCACAGGTTGAAATTAAACAGAACGAGTCTGATCAAATCATCATATATTTTTAGGGGCTAGTAAATAGATTTACTATGAGAATGAAATTACTGGGCAAAATTTGGATAATAAAAGAATTTAGCTAAATTTTCAAATTTAAGCAAATAGTTAAACAACTAGATGCAAATACACAGTGGAAGAAGAGTGCTCTAGCTGGGAAAACAAACAAACAAAATTTTCAATAAATCATCAAGCCTGTTGTAATTGTTGTATTCAATGAACACTATTCAGTGTACAATATGTAATCGCTCCTTCAGAAAAAAAAAAAAAAAGCATATAAATCCGATCAAAAACAGACGTTATAGCTGAACACCTCACAACAATTTACCACAGAGTTTGGGATTATGGGAAGTCTTTCAATATGCAAGAAGGACGTAAAAGAAGACTCAGGAAACTACAGGTTTGTCAGTTTAACCTCAGTGCCTGGAAAAGTTATGTGGAAGACAATCTTGGGTGCTATTTAGAGGTATTTAAAGAACAAAACAATTAGTGATAATCAACATGGATTTGTCAAGGATAAGTCTTGCCTTAGTTATCTGATCTTCTAAGATATGATCACCTGTATAGTGTAAGAAGGGAAGGTAGTAGATATATAATATTTCTAGATTTTAGTAAGGCATTTTTTACTGTCCCTCAGCAGTATCCTGATGGATAAATGGTCCAACTGTGAGATAAATAAGTTCATGCTACTCTGCATGATGAACTGGATGAGCAGTAGAACTCAAAGCGTTGTAATGAATGGGACTATATGTTTCTGGCAGCTGGTCATCAGCAGTGTTCCCCAGGACTCAATTCTAAGGTGAATACTGTTCAAGGTTTTTATCAATTGTCTGGAACTAGGAGTTGAATGCATCCTCAGCAAATTTGCTGATGGTGTTAGACTGGGAGATGTTGTTGAATCCTTGCAGGTTTGACAGGCCTTGCAGAGGTATCTAGATAGATAAGGGCACAGGGTAATCAGCAATGACATGAAGTTCAACGAAGGAGTATGCTGAGTGCTACACCTGTAGTAATGCAAGATACAGGCACAGACTAGGAGATAAGTGGCTAGAGACAGCTTAGCAGAAAGACACCTGGGGGTATGGTGGCAGCACACCAAGCATGAAGCCAGCAACATGCACTGGCAGTCAAGAGGGCAAACCACATCTTAGGATGTATTAAACAGCGCATAGCCAGCTTATCAATAGAAGTGATTATCCCCGTATGTTTAGAGTTAGTGCAGAAGCACCATTCTAGGCTCCACAAGATATGAAGGATGCTATAGTCCTTGAAAACATCCAGAAGAAAGCAGCAAGGGTGGTAAAAAGGAATGAAGGCTTGTCCCATGAGGAGAGGAGGACGCTTGGATGACACGTCTCTAGTTTGCAGAAAAGCAGACTAAAAGCTAAGTCTAAGAGGCAACCCTATTACTATCTAGAATTTGGTTAAGGGGAAAAATGGATCTGGACACATCAGTCTTTTCCTCCCAGTAATTGATGATAGGATGTGAGGGAACAGCACTAAGTCCCACCAGGAGAGGTTCAGGCTGGGTACTGGAAAAAATTTATTCACTGTGAGGGTGGTCAGAAATGTGAACAGGATTTTTGGAGAGGTGGATAATGACCCATGCTTCTCAGTGCTCAAGAGGCATTTTGATTATGTCTTCTATACTATTCTTTAACTTTTGGTTATCAGACAATTGGACTTCACGTTATTTGTAGTCCCTTCCAAAA